CTTATCTCTATGTATGGAAAAGCCCTCACTGTCCTTTGTCTGCCTGGTATGCTTCTATCCAGCCTTCAAAACCCTTTATAGCATCACCTCATTTATGAAGTACTTTTTAACTTCCCCTTGATAACACTGGTAGCTCTGGCCTTCAAGCCTCCATGGCATCTGCTCCATAATGTGTTGATGCACTTGATTCTCATGGGGCTTCATGCATTGCTATTTCATCTCGACCGTGGTTCCCATAAACGTCTGTATTCCCAGTGCTTAGCACAGTGCCTAGCCCATAGCAAATACAGTCCCCTCCAATAGTAAAGACAGTTACCCATTGATATCCACAGAGGATTGGTTCCAAGACCCCCCACAGATAACTAAACACATGGTTGCTCAAGTCTCTTATACAGAAGGCATAGTATTTGCAATTTGCATCCCTACACATATCCTTCCTGTATACTTTATACCTAATACAATGTAAGTGCTATGTAAGTGTTATTATATTGTATTGTTTAAGGAATAAAGACAAGAAAACAAAACTTGTACATGTTCAATACAGACACACCCATCATTGGCTCAACTACATCAATTGCTACTTGGATCATGGACTGGGAACATGTAAACACAGAGGGGCCCACTATAGCATAGACTTGGCCTTCAGATTCACCATGTCAAAGCTACCAACTCTACACCCTCAAGAAAGCAAGCATGCCTTTGGGGAAGAATAAACACTTTCCTACAGATGTTCAAATCCAATAGAAAACACCCACCTGGAGGGCAGGCTGTGACTCTGTCCTGACATGGCACAGAAATAAGGCCCAGCTGTTGCTGTTGCTAGAGCTCACTGGGATCCTGTGTAGAAGTGGATCCTGTCTAAAATTCTATAGAAAAGATCTGGATGCTTCTTGGATAGATGCAGACCTGGATCCCTAATTCAAACCCACTGACCACCACCAGAAAGGAAAGTAGTCCTAAATCTGTCCATTTTGCCTTTTATTAAGCCTACTTTTCCAACTCTGGACTCCTACCACATACCTCCAGAGTGAATTTCACAGGAATTCACCTGTGATAATTAATCTTCATTGTTAACTTGATGGAATTGAGAAACACCTAGGGGATTAGCAAAGCACACCTCTGAATTTGCTATAAGAGACAATTAGATCATGATGGCTCTGACCTAATCAATGGATTCATCCCTTGAGAGATTCACAATACGATAGCATGATTGCGAGGCGGTGAAAAGGAAGTGCGTCATATTTGGAGGAAGTCAAGTCACTGGGATATGTCCTCGGGGGCAATATCTTGTCCTGCCCCCTCCCTGCATTCTCTTTTTCTGCTTCCTGGCAGGCATGTTGTGAAATTCTCTGTTCTATCACACCTACCCCACCATGATAGACTGACACCTTGAAACCATGAACCAAAATAAATCTTTCCTCCCTTAAGTTGTTTATGTCAGATGTTGTTACAATAACACAAAAGTAACTAATACACTGCCCTTCATGTTGCTGCCATTAAGGTTTTTCCAAAGAGTGACATCTTCTGTCTTCCCTCTTCAAAGTCTGAGCCTTCAAACATCATCTCAGCAGCTTTGGCCTGTGTCTGTCTCTTCTTCATGTCTGGCTACAACTTCCTGTCTAATCTTCTTGCCTGATAACCATCCTCTTTCCTTTGCTCACTCTCTCCCCAACTCCACAGTTCCATTTGATAGTTCAAACATGTTTTCTTAGAGGAGGACCAAAGGGGAAGAATAGGGAACAGAGTCTCGAGGTGGAAGTTGGAGGTGAATCATGGTGAATGTAGTCTCTGGTGATGACCAGGCTGTCATCTTGGGGACAGGAGAAGGAAAAAGGCCTTGAGAGCAGCAGAAAACTCAAGAAGACCCTTGGGTCATATCACATCCCTAATGGTTCTGCACTAGTGACATAGAAGCTGAGTCACATCACCAGGTCTCTGGGTTTCTCAACCACCTGCAGAAACTAAATAGCTTCAGGTTCTCACATTTTATGTTATTTTAATTAATTCACTCATTTACTTATCTACTTTCAGTATTGGGAATTGAACCCAGGGCCTCACATGTGCTAGGTATGTGCTCTACCACTTGAGCTATGATCCTGTCCTTTTGTTTTTATTTTTGCTTTTGAGATATGAACAAGCTACCTGCTACCTTTGCCTGAACTGGCCTTGAACTCTGGATATTCCTGCAGCTGGGCATAAGGTCAGCTAGGTTCTCCCATTTTAAAGGAATATGTTAAAGATAGTCCAGCAAAACAAGAAATCTGGTGACTTGTTTTCAATCTGTAACCACAGACCTATTTTAAAACTATTTTCTATGGTTCTGTGAAATGTAAATTAAAGACTAATGCCAGTTTTTCTAAATAGGAATTAGAAAATCCTGAGTAAAGATGGGAAGACTTGGTTGACTGGTTTATTGGCTTGCATTCCTTCTCTTGTTCATTCATTCACTTATTCCCCCTCCCTCTCCCCTGTCTTCCCTCCATTCTTCTTCCTTCCTTTCATCCATCTATCCACCCAACCATCCATCAATCTATCCTTCCATTCATTCATACTTCCTTTCACCTATCCACCCACCCTACCATCCATCATCCATTCATCTATTCATCCATCCAACTATCCATCATCCATTCATCCATTTATTTTTAAATATCACATATGCTTAAATAAAGCAAGACTCCCTCCATCCCCAAATTATTGATCAGAAAAAAGGAATTTTATAGCCAACCCTTAGAGCTATTTCATATTTTGGGTTGCTGTCCAAATTACCTTATTCCAAACAAAAATCAACTGTTTGGGGAAAAATATTTGCCTAAAACCACTTTAATGGTTTTGCTCATTTGGGATACCTACGAAGTTCTCTTGTTAGACTTTTTCTTTTAAGCAGGCAGAGATTCAGTAACTTTTATTGAAGGCACAGCTTCATAAAACCAAGTGTTGAATGTTTTATTAGTAAGGTCATTTTAAAAAGGCAGTGAATAACTACTTGTCATATTGTGGACATCAAAACAAGTACCTTCTAAAGGATTAAATAGACATTTTTTCCCAAAGAAGAAATGCAAGTAGTGAACAAGTCATTAGTTATTATCATTATCATTAGTCATTAGGGAAATGCAAATGAGAGTCATAAGATACTTCATTCCCCACTACAATGACTAAAATCAAAATTATAGGCCATAACAAGCACTGACAAGAATGTGGAGAAATTGGAACCATTTTGTACTGCTGACAGGAATGTAAAATGATGCAAATGCTGTGGGAAACAGCTTGGTAGTGACTCAAATAAACATAAAGTTATTACAAGATAAATTCCACCCTTAAGTATATAATTAAGAGCAATGAAAGCATGTGTCCAAACAAAAACTTCACACAAATGTTTATAGCAGCATTGTTTATAATAGTTAAAAAGTGGAAACCACAAAAATGCTCATTAATTCAAAGAATAGATAAAATGTGGCATATCCATACAAGGGAATATTGCTCATCAATAAAAAAGGAATGAAGTACTAACAGATGCTATAGAATGAACCTCCAAAATATTACACCATGTGAAAGAAGCTAGTCACAAAAGGCCAGAATATTATGATTCCATTTACATGGAATGTCCACAAAATACATAATCACAAAAAATAGAAAGCAAATTCATGTCTCCAGGCACTAGGTGGGGTGGGGTGGGGGGAAAACAGGGAGTGACTGTTAATGGCTTGGGGTTTCTTTTTGGAGTGATGAAAATGTTCTGCAATCAGTAGTCAGGATGGTTGCACAACCATGTGGAAATAGTAAAAACATTGCACCGTATATTTTCAAAGGGTGAATTTATGGTATGTGGATGACATCTCAAAAAGTTATAAAAATGTACACACTCTAGATTAATAGGAACAGCCACCCTACCCAGACTATGGGGTGATGACATATACAGAGCACAGAGAGCTGGTGCAGGAAGAAATGGATGGACACCAGGTCAAGATGGGTGGACTTCCCACTGCCTCATAACAGGGAGAGTGGGGGGAAAGCAGTGCTTTAAGTTAATGTACTATGTTAAGTAGTGTGTAATTTAAAATGTGTGTCACTAAAATGATATATTAGATACTATCCTTAAAATTACATAAGTCAGATTAGCTTTTTTTTTAAAAGGCCCTCTTTTCTGGGAAAGGGGCCACCTTATGCTGAGGCACACACTGTATATAGCAAATGCCAACTGCGTGCCAGCACCAGGCTGCATCCTTGGGCTACAACAGTGGATCTCAGAACAGTGTGGTTCTGTCCTCCACAGGACTTCCAGCCTAGCACATTTGCATTAAAGAGGATCTCACATCTGAGGCCATGTTTATGAAAGGTCTGGATGACCTCACATGGAGTCATTCTTAAATTTTTTGAGGTCGCATGCTCCTTGGAGTCAGATGAAAGCTACAGGGTTTCTTCCCCAAACATATGCATATGCTGGGAGGGGGCGAAAACTAGGTATCTTCTTTTAAAAAGTTCATGTAATAACACCTAGTGACATATACACACCCTGACAATGTACCCGAGACCCCAACAATGTATATGACCCCCCAATAATGCATACAAGCTCCCTAAAACATGTGACCCCAACAATGTATACAACCCCACCAACAACTTATACAACCCCAATAATGTACACAGTTCTCCAACAATACATACCCTTGATGTGCCCCAGGCTGGCTTCCCTACTTGGAGAGTTCATGTCTGAATTCGCTCCCACTCACCAGTTCTCCAGCCCTTAAGCCACTCACACAATATGCATCTCTTGAGACTGGCAAAGATTCAAAATGGCCTGGGCCCCAGGAAATTCACAGAGGGCCCCAAGGCCCTGTGAAGGGGAATTGGGGCCTGGCAGCAGCTGCTGTCTCCCCCACCCCCTTCTGGCCTGGAGAGTCCACTTTAACCTGGCTTTCACCTTTGAAGAAAGCTTCAAAAAATATTCCCCAACTCTCTCAGCACATCTAGAAATGAAACCCACAAGGTTTGAACTGGTGACCTACCCAAGAGCTTGTGGTAGAATGCAGAGGAAGCAGCGACTAACCAAGATCCCAATCCAGGGCAGGGCTCTTTGGTCCTTCAGGAACCCAACAGGCTGGGGACTGAGTGTTCAGCACACTGGTGAAGAAAGTGTCTTTCTATAGAGTGAGATAAAGGAGGGAGAAGGCTCAGAAGCCACCTCAGAACAATGGAGGAGCTCCTCTGCAGATAAAGAGCTAAGTGTTGCCACCTCTGGAGACCATAGGAGCCAAAAGCTCAGAGTCCAGTGAGCACAGCAAGTGACAGTTTTAAACACACTGGTAAGGCAAAGTCCAAGTCACTAAAAACTGCTGATGCCTACCTGGGGAGAGTCCTGTAGTCCCAGCGTGACTTCCCCCTCCCTCTAGGCTGCCCTACTTTCTGTCTGCTCTTGCTTCTCTCCTGTCCTCAGCCTGGCCCTGACTGGCAGGGGGCAGGAGGACAAAGGAAAGGGAAAAGCACCATCCTGTGTTAGGGGAGACTCCTCCGCAGTGGAGTTGATTACCAAAGGAATTATTGAGCTACCTCTCTACTGGGCTAGAGGAAACCTCAGCCTTCAGAAGAGGTAAGGAGGGTATCCTGGCCCTGGGGGAGAATTCAAGAGGCTTAGGATTTGGTCCCTGCTGTGTTGCAACTGGCTGTTGTGACGCCCAGTGAAGGGAATGAGGAAGAGCTGGTCTGTGTCTGGCTCAGGTGAGCCAGGCATGAGTGTGCAGGGAAGGAGCAGTCACAGTTCTCTGGCCCAGGGAAATGGAATCTCCTGGCCTTAGATGGAGGATGTTAGGAAGAAAAGCAAAAGGAAAAATGCCTCCCTGCCCTAGAGGGATTTAACCTTAGGTTGAGCTGATAAATTCTGGGGTATCACAGCAGCAAAGAAGCTTGAAGGCTGTGGTGAGAGTTCAGGTTTCCAACAAGGTTGTGAACAGAGGCTTGAAGGAGGAGTGGTGCAGAACTGGGGTTTGGGGAAGAGGGACAGGGCTGGCTTTCCATTCCAGGCAGGGCACAGGTCTTCAGCAAAGGTGTGCTGGGCACCAGTGTGTGGAGGAGGCTAGTTGGGGTGAAGGGTTTTGCTGGAAAGTATAAGGACACTGGGTTAGAAGGGTAGATTAAGCCTGGATTAAGAAGGGCACGAGTCATAAATTTAAGGGATCTGGATTTGCCTAAAGGCACCAGGGAGCTTCTGGGAGTGGGAAGAGGCCAGGCATTTAAGCACTATTAAGTAATATTAGGTAATAAGTAGGAGCCATAAAAAAGGGAAGGAAGGAATGCGAGGCATGAAGAGAGAGTCTGTGATGGGCAAGATAAAGCAAAGGCGTGGAGGATGGGGGCAGGAGGCAGTGCTGTCCCACCTGAGCATGTGGGAATAACAACTGCAGGGAGACAGGTGCCAAGAGGAGAGGATTTGGTGAGAGGAAAGGGAGGGGTTTAGTTTTTGAGCTCCAGTGGGGATGTGATACAGACTCTTGTAAGCAGAGGGCTGAAGCAAGAAGTCACTGAAGCCAGGTGGTCCCTGGAGAAGGACCAGGTGGCTGGAGAAGGGGGCTGCAGATCTGTGTGTGTATTGCTGACTCTCTCAGAGTCTGTAGTGCATGCGTGTGTGAGTGCCGAGCTCGAAGCAAATGGGCTAGCGTTTAACACAGAGCTAGCAAAGGTGAGGCCTCTAGAAAGAGCTTGTGTGAAAATCAAGAACATGCAAGAATGAGAATAAAGTATAGCCAATCATCTGTGTATTCTAAACAATTTGATGCTCTCATAAGCCCTTCAGCTTTCTAATTCACCAAAGAATCAGTTTCTTTCTTTCTTTCCTTTTGAGACAGAGTCTCTATGCTGCTCTCTCACTGTGTAGCCCAGGCTGGCCTTGAACTTGTGATCCTCCTGCCTCAGCCTCCCAAGTGCTGGGATTACAGATCTTCACCTCCAAAGAACCAATTTCAGCTCTGAGAAAATAGAAGCCTCCAGTTGACAAGTAGATACTCCCAAGACCCCCAAATCATCCCAAATCACAATTTATTCTGACTCTTCGGGATGGAGCTGTTACAATGTCTCTAATCCTCTTTCACCCTGCGCCTCAGATCTATCATGACCTCCACCTATGCCAACATCTTCAACAGCTCCCTGCCACCTTCCCAATAAAATCCCAAAGTACCACGAGCAATCCAGTCTTCACTTCCATGTCCAGCTGAGTTCAACTTTCACCCTTATGTCTCTTGCCTTTCCTGGCCTTGACTCCACCCAGATTGAGTCACACCAGCCTCACCTCCCTACCTACCTCTCTGCTTTTATTTACACTTTTCTCTGATCACAACCACAGTCCCAATCCTACCTGTCCTTTCCGAGCTTTTCCAAATGCCACTGCCTCTAGGAAGCTCTGTCACTCTTCCTAGCCAGAGGGAGCCTCTCTGTCCTGTAATCTCACAGCACTTTGTGCCTCCTTTGTGGCACCACAAAGCCCCGCTTGTCTTCTAGTTATTCATCTTCTCACATTATCTCGCTTGCTGTCAACCTGCAGAGGACAGATAGAATCCTTCAGGTTTGGGAGTGTATAGGGGGTGGAGAAGTGGGAAAACATTAAACCAGTGTTTAAAGTAAGTTACAACTCGGAGGATCCCCAAACCACTCATCTTCCCTGGGACAGGGTTGGTGATGTTTTATGGGGCACGGTCACACGAGCCAAAGGGGTCTTGACAGAACATGACCTGAATACTCTGCGACCCACGGCTCCTAACCCTGGCCTCTTTTCATCCACTCAGGCTGGAGCACAGTCTGAGCTGAGGTTCCGCTGCACTGAGCTTGGGACTTAACTGGGATTCTGCAAGTCAGCACCTGGTACCAGCACTTCTTGGTGGATGCTGTCCGAAGTGTGTGCACAGATGCAGGACCTGCTTGGGGAGGGAAGTGGGTTTGGGAGGACAGAGAGACTTAGCTGGAAAGGTTCTAGGCCACATGCTCCAGAAGAAAGAGAAGCTTAGGGTGCTGGAGGAAGTGGGGGAGTGACAAAGTAGTCTACTTTCGAAACCAGGACAAGCTGTGTGGCTTTAAGGGCCCAGGACCACAGCTGGAACCTTTCTCCTACAGATGGGAAAGGAACCCCCTGGAAGAACCAAAATCAAGGGAGTTCCCAGCAAGCCTGAGGAGCCCCTCAAGGACCAAAGAGACTGTCACAGGCTATGGTGGGGGGAGTCTCAGAGAGCCAGGAGCCTCAGACCCTCATTCTGGAAGGGCATGAAATCTGTGTGAGTGGATTTCAGAAAATAAAAGGGAAGAGAGAGAACTGGAGAGGGGAAAAATGTTAGTGAAGTGTTGCCAAAATGTCAGAGCGCTCATCCTTCCTGGATAGTGGCAGTTGTTGATCTTCGTTCTTATCACACTGATTGGCTGCCTTGTAAGAGCCCCAGTCCCCTTGGTACTGGGCAAAGGGAGGAGCTGAGGAAGTCCCAGAGCCTAGAGTAGTGCACACCCTGGCAGCCCACCAGGGCCTACCTGGAGGGTCTCTTTTTTTTTTTACAATTTTTTTTTTTTTTCCTGGTGGCACTGGGGTTTGAACTCAAAGTCTCTTGCTTGCTAGGCAGGCACTCTTATCACTTGAGCCATTCCATCAGCCCCCTGGAGGGTCTCTTGAAAACCATCTGCCCTTGTACCAATCTACACAGTGCGTCTAGATTGAAAGCGCATCGGAACGCACATCCTGGAGTCTGTTGTCTTCATCGAACTGTCATCGTGAGTAATAATTATACCTTGGGAAACAGCAGTGACTCAAAATGCTGTCCCCTCCTCCCCCCCACCCCCTCACACAGCTCAGAGCTTTGCATGCATCATGTTCTCCTGCCTGTCAGCTCTGGGAACAGGTTAAATGATCATTGGGGTTCCAGGGCCTGATAAGTGTCGGAAAACAGTGTCTTTGCTGGCTAAAGAGCTATTCAGGCTGGCTGTGCCCAAAGGGTAGTAGAAGGAAATACTGGTGCATGCTGGGTGTAAGACAATGAAGCAGCACCCAGAGGAAGCTGTCCTTGCCCCTCAGATGGTGGCCTATATTCTCAGGAATAATAAGAATAATTAATAAGAAAGAAAAGAAATAGGGGCTGCAGATGTGCCTGGCATTCATGAGACCCTGGGTTCCATTCCCGGCACTAAAAAAAAAAAAAAAAATCCAGAATCTGTAATCCTAACATTGGGAGGGTGAGGCAGAGGGGTTGTTAATTCGAGGCCAGCCTGGACTATGTAACAAGGTTCCCTGTCAAAAGCACAAAAACAACAACAAATAAAAGAGTACATCCCCCACAGGCTTAGACACAGCCCTAAGTGTCAAGATATGGGGAAACTAACACTTAGTGGGTGCCTGTTATGGGGCTGAGTATTTTGCAAGGTATTAAAGTGATGCCTGAAGTCATCAGATGTTAAAGTACTGACATGGTACTCTGCACTTGCTGGCATGTCCACAGCCCTCGGATCCCGAAGGCCTGCTTCCTCCACAGACTCCCTTGTGATCCGGCCCTAACCCCCAGCATAGCGGCGTGCCTCTCCCATTCTGCTCAGGGTGAGTGGTGGCTAATGTCATTTTTGTTTGATCAGTGCCCTGACTGTGCTGTCTGTTAATATGTTGAAACTTACTCCAGTATATACCGTCTCACCCCACCCTCACCAAAGGAAGCTGTAGCTAAGTAACCTGCCAAAGTCACACAGGGAGTTCCAGGGCAGGGGTTGGAGCCCAGGCAGAGTAACTCTGAAACTGAGCTCTTGAATTCCCAACTGCTTGGGTAGAAAATACACATAAGCATCGCCAATGTCCTGCTTACTCCCTTTCCCTGAAACTGGCCCTAACTCTATGAGAAACACTTGACCATGAAGCCAGTCAAGCATGCTGTCAGCCCCAAGTCCGTTGGGCATCTCTGCTCCATCACTCCTCAGGGTGACCATCTCAGGCCCCATTCACTGGGTATGCCAGGGCCACATGGTCCCACAGCTCTAGGGATTGAGAAACCCACCCAGTAGGTCTACCTCAAGAGCCTCTGTCCCCTCTCTTACCCCCACCAGCAGTTTTATTTGTCCTAGCAGTATTTGGGCACATAGAACAATGGTGGTCACCATGTAGAGCTAAGTGTCAGAGATGTAGATTTCCCCAGAGCCTCTGAAGGATGAGACGCACGCTGCAGAAGGGTTAGACTGGCACAGTAGGCCTGTGTGGTGAAGGAGGGTGATATTACAACATTGCACACCAGAGCTCATGGCTGAAGCTAGGATGAATCACATCAGTCCTGGCTACTTCTGGGAGGAACAATGCCTTCAGAAAGACTTCAGTGGTCCCCACACTACACCCATATCCTGTGTTTGGAATGCTAGTTCCCTTGAGAACCTGCAAGGGTTCCACTGCCACAGTCAGGGGATGCTAGGATGAGCCCAGTGACACATTCACCTGTTCCACCAGACTTCTTACAACTCTGACCATGCAGACAGATGTACGTGGCACATCTCACTTGGAGGTTTCATCAATGCGGCACCTCTAAATGTCTCACGGTGGAGTTGCTCTGAACACTGCCCAGCAAATGCTTCCCTAAGGGTCTGAGGACAAAAATGCTTATCATTGGGCAGGGGACAGGGGCATTTGCCACTGGAAAGGACCATTTATAACCCAGCCCTTCCCACAAAGGAAACACACTTTCCATTTCCTCTTTCTTAACAAATTCTTAACACCCTCTCCTCAGGTTCCCTTTTAAAGGCCCCTAATGTCCTTATGAATGTGCTCATTAATGTCAAAACATGGTTCCCAGGCACCCTTTCTTTGGCTATCCCAAAATTCCATTACTCTAATAGTGGATTCTCTTTAATTCATTAAAGGACTTTGAGCCACTCCCACTCTTGCCCACCCGCCACCCTCTAAGAAGCAGCCGCGTGAAAGGGTATGACAATTCTAAGAAAACGATTCAGGGCCCCATCTAGACCTAGCTTCTCTCACCGGAAGCAGGAACCACCCCATCACACCTTTCTCCTGAGACCACTAAGTGCTTCATAAATGCAAACGGAAATACAGATGCCCCAAGCACTTTGTGGGTACTGTTTTGGTCACCCTTGGTGAAGATGCTACAAAAAGTAATGTGTACCACTTTTTCCGTAGCACTCACAAGCAATTTACATACATTATAAGAGATCCTCCCAACAACTTGTACAAACAGGATCTGAGGCTCAGGAAAACTAAGTGGTTTACATGGATTTGGATCCAGCTCTGCCAGGCTCTGAAGCCTAGTTTCTTTTGAAGGTATCATTCTCTGCCAACTATGTAGACTGATAAGCTGGGCAAGGAATTGACTTATTTTTCTCAATAATAATAAAATGGTGAAGGAGTTCCCAGTGCAATCCAGGAGGATTGGTTACAAGATAAACATGTCCTGAAGCTTGGGGTGAGGTGGTGGTGGTGTGTGTGTGTTTGGGGGGGGGTTCATGCCTGTGATCCCAGCTACTTGGGAGGTTGAGATCAGAAGGATTATGGTTCTAGGCCAGCCCAGGTAAATAGTTTGTGGGACTCCCATCTCCAAAATAACCAGAGCAACATGGACTGGATGCAGCTAAAGTGATAGAGAACTTTTGCAAGCGAAAAGCCTTGAGTTCAAACCCCAGTCTTACTAAAAAACAAAAACAAATAAATGAGAAAAAACAACAGCAACAATAAACAAAACATGTCCTGAGCCTGTCTTCTGGGCACCAAGACAAATTTCCAGACTTGACTTCCTAGCAGAGCACCAACCTCCACTTTCCAAACAGATACTAGACATCCAGTTAAATTTGAACTTCAGATAAATAGTGAATAATGTCTAATTTACTGGGGATGTACAAATACGTCCCAAACATTTCATGAGACATACTGAGAACAAAAAATTAAAATATGCTCATTTGACATTCAAATCTGAATGTTTTTATTTGTTAAATCCAGCACCTCCACCCCGGAGCCAGGCATGCTGGGAAGTCTCCTGCCTAACTCCGGGTCCCAATCTTTGCTCCAACAAGAGTTGCCATGGCAGCCCTAGCACGCCTTCCTGGGCCTTGGGGAGCTGTCTCTACTCTTCCCTGCCCCCCACCCCCAAGCTTCCTCTCACCCCTGCGCTCTAGGCTCCCCACAAGTCTAACTACTTTCAGTTTCCTGGCTGTGTCATGAAGTCTGCTGCTAGCCTCCTGCCGCTTTTAGCCTCTGGTGGTAGCACTTTCCAGGCTCTGTGCTGTCTTTTTCCACCGTTCCTCTTGCTAAGCTAATTCTTATATTTCCCTAAGTTCTCCACTTAGCGCCATTTCTGCCAGGAAGCCTCCCGAGTCCCTGACCAGCTCTGCTAACCGGTCTGACCATCACCGCCCCTTCCCATGGCAAGCCCTGCTCCTCCCCATTCTGCCCTGGCAGGCAGGAGCCATGTCAGACTCACCTACCTCTCCACACCCTGCACCAGCACCTGGTTGCAGGTAGAAAGCCAGTTGAGTGAATGAATGACTGCAGACTGTCCCGCCAAAGTTGGGTCTTCTGAATGTGCCTACTTCCTAACTACCTTCTGTCATGAGTCACTGTTTCATCGCGGCATCCTCCCCTTCCCCCCACAGCAATGACAAGGGCTTGCGGTCAGCCCTTCAGGTGGACAGAGAGCAGCCCAGACATGGAGGGACTTCCTAGTACCCTCTCGCCCTGGTCATGCCATGCAGATGGCCTCGATGGGTTCCAGTCTGCTAACGCCCTTCTGACTCTGGCTTTTAGGTCCTCCTGGCTAAAGCCCTTCAGACCACCCTAGGACCAAACGTGGCTCCTTTCATGAGCCCGGTAGGACCCGGCTCCTAGTTTTGGGGTGTTGCGGAGATGCTGGTGTCATATGGCTGAGGGTGAGGGCAGGTGGCGGGGTTTGGTGGGCCTCAGAACATCACCCATATGCTCTGTTCACCCACCCAAAGCTTTGCCCACGCACAGCCTGACAGCAGGAGCAGACAGCCCGGAACTTAACCCTTGCGCAGCAACGGGAAGCCAGCTTTCCAAAAAAGCCAGTGCAGCCAGTTTTAACTTTCATCCCCAACACACGCGGTAGGCTTTGGTCCCCTCGCACAGCCCAGCTTGTCTCCAGACAGGGCTCTGAGTTCAGAAAATGCCCCAGGGATGTCAGTGTATTGTGGGGGGGGCTGTAGGATAGGTTGGAGGACCAGGTGAGGTAGGGGTGGAGAATGTAGCCCCACGGGGTGCTGAAGGGTAGGGGAGAAGGGAGCAACCCAGAGCAGGAGCTGGGGTCTGAGGCAGGAGCCCCAGTTGGATTCTTGCCGCCCCCAGTTTAGGGGCTCCCTAATCTGACCTTTTGGAGGCAGGCAGCCTTTCTATGCCTTCACAAAGTGGCCCCAACCTCCCTTGTCTGAATATACTAAGAGGACAAAAAGCGGAAAACATCTTTTAGCCTCAAATTAACTCCAAAAATAGAACCCCTCTCCCCCGGCAAAGGGTTGGTGAGCTCTGGGGTGCACAGCACAGCCGCTCGGACTTTCTGCGTCCCTCGCTGCTCTTCTAGGAACCCCTAACCGGGTCCAGCACCCCCTCTCCAACCCCTCCAGCTCCCTCCCTCTACCGGGTCCAGCCTTGGGCCGGATCGCGGCAGGAACTCACCGGGAGCGGCTGGGGGCGGCCAGGTGAGTCGGCTGCGGCAGGTAGGGGCGCGCGGCGGCTCCGCGGGCTGTGGCTGAGTAAGAAGGCTGACAGGTTGTT